AATTTACAAATTTAAAATTTGAACATAAATCAACTAAAGAAATAACATTGAGCGTAAAAAAAAAATGGAATTTGATTGAAATTTTATTTAAAAATTCACATCCTTATATAGGTCAAATATATATATATATATATATATATAGGTTAATATATAAATTCCACCAACAATATTCATGTATTGTAGACAAAACCTTAAACATCCAACATTAATATATTACTCCCAATCACTTAGACCACCTTTGTAATAGACAATGCGCCCTAAGATATTAATAATCCTAATGAGCCACTTTCAAGAATGAGACAAAAATTATGCATGGAATGCTTATACATATACATATATATATATATGTATATTTTGTATATGTAAATGTTTGAGAATGATCAAGATTTGGAAAGTTTGAGAAACTCAACAAGTTGCAGGCTAGTAGTGATAGTGGCACATTTGCCACTCTCATTTATAACTGAAATCAGCTTATTCAAGCAGGTTGTATCTAAAAGATGAACCAAAATGCTTTTACAATAAGCATTTAAGTTATCGTAAATAAATTAAGTTAAAAAAAAATATTTCGTAATAATTAAATTTTCTTAATGGGTAGGAAATTTGATATATATTTATTTTTTTTAAAAAAAAAATTGTTTCTTTTTATTATATTCTTAATAAATTGTAGGCAAAATTGGTTTAGTAAAACCCATTACTGCCAAAACAAATATATATATATATATATATATATATGTGTGTGTGTGTAGTGGCATCCCATACTTCAAACATGTAATTGGAGCAAAATGAATTTGGGGGTAATAGAAAAAATTATCTGAATATTAATGTAAATTTGACTAATAATGCACATGAACTTTCTCTGCTCTGCTAAGTGCTACCATCATTACTTACTGGCGCCCATGGGTTTGAAGAATTGCTCTACTACAAACTGCTACTTTTTTTCTTTATAGTCCAAATAGCAGGGGGGTGAGAATTATTTGGAATAAAGTAAATCCAGAACCGCAAAGTGATCGAGTGCCATTTGACATACACGGGTCTCCTCCATCTCCTCTTTGAACTAATCTTTTTTTTTTTTTTTTTTTTCCTTTTATGGTAAGATCCTCAGGCTTGTTTTGGTAAGTGAAGAGTGTGGAGTTTGGCAATCCTTTTCTTCAATTCACGAGTGTGCACGCCACGACTAGAGATTCTAATATTATATGACACAGTTAGTCATTATAATAATAAATCATTATAAAAATTTAAGCTAGTGAGAAAAAAAGGTTACAGTTTATCGGGAGTACCGTAAGAAAGGTTTGTGGTGTGATGACACGATTTAGTTCGTGCGTAAAATTTTTTGAGAGATTTTTAAGTAGAATTAGAACTCAGATTTTGATTTATAAAATGGAGAAAATTATGTGTTTTGAAATCAGTTTGGAAATATTATGCATTATTTTTAAGCATGAACTTGGGATATGTTTGAATTAAATTTATAATTTTCTTTTAATTCAAACTTTAAAAAATTAAGAAAAAATCTCTTCAAAATAATTATAATAATAATAATTAAAAAAAAAACACAATCTCATGTCAAATTATGTTCCTAATTCATATAAAGCTATATAAAATCAATTTTCACTTGTTCAGTAATTAAACTAAATGTACATTTGTAAATAAATTGTACAAAATTTCTGAATTTGTTCCAAATACAAGACTTCTAAATTTGTTCCAAATATACGCTTGACACAAACTCGAAGTCCAATTAGCAGACTACAACGCTAAAATCGCTCTAGAGTCCTCGGTCCTTGATTAATGAACTAGATCGAGCAGAGACAAAAAGGACTCCATAAACGAGGCTTTCCCCCCCTCATATTTGCCTCTGTAATCTTCTACAAAATCCTCCCCCGTGAAATTTTATTTCCAGAACTGAATGAATACATGAGGTTTTCTTACTAGAAAAATAATATTTAGCACCATGATTGTGACAGTATAATAACTATATGACCCAAGAGAAAGGGGTGAAGAAGAAAAACTCTCCTTTTGTGATATACAAACCTGTTCGTGCCACCTTAGGAAAAGACAGCATATTTTCTCATACCGTAACAGTGAACAGATACTCTTTCAATACAACGGACAGAGCAAGCTGCAAAAGAAAGATGCTAGCCACGATGAGGAACCATCTTTCACCTGCTGACTTGATATGGGCCCGGAGATTAAGGGCAACAAAAGTTGCTGACATGAACCCAGCTACACCAGCAATTACCCATCTGAAGATTTCCAAGGGGACAACAGAAAGACACTGCACCAAGAAAAGATCGAGTTTCAGCCACCTACTGTGACTTGTGGTTCACAGAGCTCAATTATAAGGCGCATGTACGGTCAAGCATGAAAACAATGCGCTCTACACATCTAATCGGTGTCAATGTGATAACAGAAAACTAAATGATTTTATATCACAATTTCATAAGAAGCCACTATTTTGTTTGTTTTCAGCCACCTATTTGACCTATGGTTCACAGAACTCAATTATAAGGCACATATGAAGTTATGGTCAAAAGCATGAAAAGAAGGCGTTCTACACACTTTATTGACGTCAATATTATGATAAATGAAAACTGAATGATTTTCTATCACAATTTCATAAGAAGTCACCATTTTGTTTGTTTTCACCTTCATCATATTCCTAGGTCAACTATTTCAAATGCCTCATCAATCGTCCTAATGGTTTATACCAGAACCCGTTGGCTGTTAGGACCTCTCTGTTAATGACACTTGGATGTATGATCAGTTGATCACAGAGTTGCTTCTCAACCAAATGCTGACTTCCATTAACTTATAACACATATTCTGTACCAGACTTGAATTTTAGAACAAAAAATACCATTCAGCCAGGCATCTTATTTCAATACAAGGTCCACTTAGAAGGGAGTTTCTTTCTTTTTCTCTTTCTTTTCCTCTCTCTTTCTTTCTTTCTTTTCTTCCTTTCCTTTTCTTCTGGGAACGGAAAGGAGTTTCCTAGAAGAGGTACTATATAACAATTTCCTGTAAATCAATCTTTCTAATTACAAAACTCCAAAACTCTTCAAATATGGAGATAAAATTTCAAAAGATGCAAAAAAAAAAATCCTGGGAAATAATTTATAGTTAACTTTTAGGGTTGAAAATAAAGGAACTTACCAAAGCAGGAATGAAGATGAATAGGGAGTAGCCATAAAGACAAAATAGTTGGACAAGGCCGGACGGTGCTGAGAAATATTTGAGAATTACATACAAACCAAGCGGAACAATAGTGACATAGCCATAGAACACACCCGCAGACCAAGTAACCAGATTTATGTCATAGGCCCAGTCTTTTTTATTCAGCTTGTGTGCTATGTATGTCACAAAAGTGCCAATGGCAGCTGCCACAAATATTAGTGTAGTGCATATCCAAAAAGGTCCATACCTGCACATCATTGGAAACACAAATCATTACATGCTCTCAATATAGGCAAGAAAAATGAGAAACAGAAAAGGCGGGTAAAGTTTTGAGAAAAAAAAGGCTGCCGTCCACGATGACAACTTTGTTAAACCATTTTTAAAAAAAAAAATAAGCATGCAAATATGAAATAGTAATTCATCAGAACACTGCAGAAGGTGCCTTGTAAAATAAATAAAAAATTAACAAGAAAAGTACAATCCAGCTTAAAGAAGTTGCACAGCAGCCAGGTTAACGATACAACTGGTTATTAAACATAAATAAGAACAGTAGACTGACTTCGAAATTTTGATGAGTACGAGTAATTACGACTTTTGTTGTGCAACAGTGTCACAGACTTGAAATAATGACTAGAATCTGATCCTACTGTCTCAAGTTGACTAAATAACCTGCATGCCTTACAGTCCAAACTCAAATCAAAGTCACCTAAAATTTAAGTGATAAGTAGTTCAAATTATGAAGACAATTTGGATGGACATGCCCTAAATTCTAGAAGAAAATTCAGTAGTTCACAGTTTAGACCTTTGAGCTTATGAGCAGATGTAGTAGTTTCTAGTTTATAACCAAGAACGACAGTAACTTGTGGTTCGTAAACACTAGTTTATTCAATAACGCTAGTAAGCAATGTTTGTAACTCTATCATCATATAAGGGGCATTTCAATTTGTAGAAGGATATTATTGTATATAGGAAGCATTGTTTGATAGTTCAGTCCATTAATGAATTAAGCAAACAATAAAGACAAATGTGGGCTTACAGATCTGGGTTGTCTGCTATCTTCTCAGTAAAACTTCCTTTGAATGGAAAGAGTGATTCTTTAATCCTCTCTAAAACATCTGAAGTATCAACATCAAAGTACGGCTTGTACGCACCAATGGTGAATCTCTGAAGCCAACCACTTGGCTGTGTTCCATCACAAGAAGCATCTGAAGCCTTAGAAAATGTATCTGCACCAGTGTAACTTTTAGCCATCAGCCACCATACAAATCAAAAACAAGGAAACCATATAACGGGAATTGCCAATAAAAAAAATCTGAAGGAAAATTTTCCAGCCTTCCACCATAAGAAACAAAAGCGTGGACATCACATAGTTATGAATACAAAAGAGAAGCATAAATAAGACAACTTGCTACAGATGCTCTGAGGCAATCTGCATCCATTTAGCCAAGCTTTCCCATTGAAGTTACCTTCCCATTGGACACTGTTTGTACACTACCTGACGAAGTATGGGCATGAACAGAGTGGATTAAGTTCTAATTAACATAGAGACCAGTGTTTTCCTAAACTATGCTATATACACTCCAAATACACCGCATAAAAAAAAAGGGGTTCTGATCAACATAGATGCCCACGAAAGGGCAATTTCTCGAGCTCTTCTAATCAAATAAGATAGAAAGGACACTATTCAACAAACCATGAAGGTTTAATTAATACCAAGAACATTTGCAAAGTAAAAACCTATCTAGTTAAGAAAAAGTACATCCAATACTTCTCAACATTTGAATGAAAATTAATCCAAGTTACACTATAATTACAGGCATCAAATTAGCAATATCTAACTTCGGGGCGGGGGAACCAAAACACAAAATCAAAATCCTCTTTCGCATTGCTTTTTTAACAAAAATAAAGCAACATCGGATCAGATAGTACCAAAAAAAGTTGCATTTACCATCAGCATCTCGAGGAGGGCGAGAACTACCAGAGATCTTCCCACGAGCGTCAGATGGAGGAAATGTCTGTAGATTTGAATCTGCAAAAAATACATCCACCGGATCATGTAACGCTGTGGAAACTCAATTTACACACCGCCGTACACAACAAAAACCTTCAGACCTCACATTTCCAGACTCATTCTAACCAACGAAAAAGATGCAAAGCACAATATATTAAAACCGCATGTTTTTCTTTCGGACGCAAGATCTAAGCACGAGACTCAAAGAATTTCCCCTCCTTCGATCTCTACCTTTACATTTTTTCAGCAACCAAACGCCTAAAACAACAACATGATATTGTCGAAAAATCCACGACGAAAAATAAGAGAAAGGTACCTGCAAACTGGACGGTGACATGGCCTGGATCTGGAACAGCCTGAGAAAAAATCAAGAAAAACAACTCAAGGAGATTCGATCACATGTAAATTGAAATGCACAAGCATACACGCATAAGTAATTAAATCAAGGCTTGCATAACTCCATGACAGGATCTTGTCGGCTGAAATAAAACGAGTTATAAATTACTTACAGGTACAGATCCTGAAACCTTTTGGTTGTCAAGGCTTGTATAATTCCCTGACATCATCTTGACTCTCTTCTTCTTCTTTCTTCTTCTTCTTCTTCCTCTTCGCTTCGCGGCAACGGATCGCTCTCTCCTCTCTCTATATCCTCGCTCGTTTTGCTCGTCTGTTTACTGCTCTTCCTGTTTGGGCTGGGTTTTATTACACGGCGAGAAATAGTGTTTGGTTCGGATGTTGCACCGACACTGGGCTGATTTGGATGGGCCGAAAATTGGGCTTAGTGTGGGTCCATTATTTTACTACTATAATTTTTTGTTATTTTAATATTTATTATAATTTATATCGTATTATTTGATTCATAAATAAAATAATTTAAAATTAAATATAATTAAAATATTCATAAATAAAATAATGGAACTCGATTGTATGTGGTGGGTAATATTGTTTTAAATCTTTACCTTCAAATTACTCGGATTAAAATTTCAAAAAAATTTAAAAACAATTTATTATTATTTAATTTTTTATATTATTTATATCACAAGACTAATTTTAGTCTTTAAAAATTTTCTGTGTAAGATTTTTAAGTCTAATTTAAATTATTTTAAAATTTTTATAATATTATATTGTCTGAAATAGCATAAAACGATATTACTTGATCGAACTATATTTACAATATAATTTTATTATAATTCAACGTTCTGCACGAAAATCGTGCAAATGCAATTTTCAAAACAGAACACGGAACCTTCTGTCGTGACCAAGAAAACTCGCTGGTCAAATGTTGATCATGTCCGAAACTGAAATTCTCATTGATGAACTACACATTAGAAATCAATATAAACACCATTGCAGAAAGCTATACAGCAAGCTCAGTCCACGCACCATCATCAATACAAAATCCCAGCACCAAAATGCTGAAATATACTACTTGCCGATAGACAGTTAACTGCGTTCAATCAAGTAGTGATTAACAAATGTGAATCCATGCTGACAAGTGATAGGAAAATGTCATCGTTAGCTCTTCGCACATGATATATTTTATGAAAGAAATTTTCGACGTCTTTCCTAACAGAAGTTCCCACGAAAAATAATTCTGAGCTAACTAAAACTTATTATATACTATTGAGCTGCAAGAAACACAAATGAATAGGAGAGCCCAATAAATTGGGATTAGTTTTTTAAATTTTTATTCAATTGTGGGATTCTGATTTATTTGTGTTCGAAAAATACTTGATAAATACTACTCCAAATGCAGGCTAACCCGTAATGAATCTCTTACGAAAGGACCATCCTTTGTCACCGCAATGGGAGCCTTTGATATCTAAATTAAATGTCGGTCTGCATCAAGTAAATTGATGCTATGTGTTGGATTTTCTTTGTACTATCATCACTCATCAGTCATTTTTCAATCGACCCCTAGTGAGCAATAGATACCTTCTGATTGCAAGAACAAGAACCCAAGTGGTGGCTGTAATTTTCTCCTTGATCATTAGCAGGAGGGCTGAATTAAGCACCGTCTTCAGAATCTGAGCATGCAATCCCTTGAAAAAGCCCAGAATCCCTTCTTTTCTCCATATAGCATAGATTACTCCACTTACTGTTTTGCGTGATTTTTGTTGAGCCTTCTTATTTGCATCATCACTTGACTCTGCAGCTTGAATCATTACCTTGCACCTGTCAGAGTAACATTCCAATTAGTGCCACACATCAAGCATTTAACTTCTTGTGCAATATGATACTAAATAAGCAAATAAAAGGCAGAAAAATAGAAGAGACAAAATTTCCGTGATTCAAATTAAGTGACCTACTCCACTAGGATGAATCTAGATTTGCTATGAAGAATTTTGAAAATAACAATGTATTTCTCTTTCTCTCAAACTCGAGCCTTGATAGACCAAATAAGCAAAAATGTTGATTCTAAGAATAATATTACACATTAATTAGCACTACACGAAAAAGAAACCCTTAATGTGTACCATGTGCAAGAAAAGGAATCCTATGGTATAACCATATTTATTGGTACTTATCTTGTGAACCCAATATTTATGACATGAATTGATAATTTGAGGAAGGGAAAAGACTAGGCACCTGATTGCAGGATATGTCAAAAGGGTCGCAACACTCTTTGAAATTGCACCTAACAGAAAAGCTGTGAAGGCAGAAAGGACTTCTGGGGCAGTCGTATTGCCCTCTCCAGTCTGTCTTCTCTTCAGGACTCGTTGTTTCAGTTGATCAAATACAGTATACTGCAGTACATGATGATTCTTACCTCAGAATGACTAATTATCTTGAGTTAAATGTTGGAAGTGGAACAGAACTAAAAAATAATCAGCATGACATGAACTGCACAAATGAGGCAATATACTCTCTAGTTCCAAATTACAAGGTCACTCATAGTACCTGAATTGCAGGATTTGAGGTCAACAAAAGAGAGATCCCCAAACCATCAAATGCATCACTCCATGTACCCTCTGTAAGTGTCTTCCATAGCCCTTTGGATTTTCCAAACTCGCTTGTTTGCATCCTCGAAGAGGCAGTATCCAGGGGCTAGATGATAATAACATTTTAGTCTACTATCAACTCCAAAGCCAAATCGTGCAGTACAGAGTTTGCTCATATGAGATGATAAAGAAAGAGAAAAGGAACTTAAAAATCAATTGATGAGGATATTAGAAAACTTTGACATTTCTTTAACTCACAGAATACTAAAACAAAATAAAGACTCAGGTTCTACACTCCGACATCAGAGACCCAATCTTTAAAGTCCAAGCTCCTGCATCACCAATAGCCTAAATTATTTTTATCATTCTAATATCAAAGAAAAACCATCAGAATGTAAGACCAAGAGTTCAATCAGATAAACACAATATAGTCTCTCTCCTATATGCGAAGCCAAATCAAGAAACACTAGATATGGATTTCTTTGGTCATATTGCGACTGTGTTTCAATCTCTGTACACTGAAAAGTGATTCCCAAGTTCACATCATTTGATTGAACATAATGAATGGATTAGAACAGTATGGACACATTCTGCGGGAAAAAACACTATTTAAATGTGAACAAAAACAAGGGGTGCTAGAAACGCAATGGCTCACCTGAGTCAGAATGGCAGTGCAAGCCCCGGCAGCAGCAGCAATTATCAAGTTCGCTTTTGTTCCAATCCTTTTGGAACCACTCCTTTCTAGATACAATCTTTTAAAGTAGCTGTATCCATAGAAATAGACAAATTGTGCAATGAAGGACTGCAGGTTTTTAGTTCCAAGACCCTGGTATAATGAAATAACCTGACCCGTTGATATTGCTTCCCATAAGACATCTGAAAGGTTCCTATATGAGATAAAAGAAGAACAAAATCAAATAAACATTGAGGCAAATCTGAGATCCACCAGCTTAAAAAATGGTGCTCTGCAGAGAATCCATATAAGATAAAAGAAAAACAAAGTCACATAGACATTGAGGCTAATCTGGGATCCACCGACTCAAAAAATGGCTGTTCTGCAAAGAGTTCGACCAAAGATTTAGACTTCACCCAATATATCATAAAGTTACTGCATAATCCAGACAATTATGATAAAAAATCTAGAGCATACATCATCATGTGATTACATTGTTGCCAAAGGTATTTGAGATCACCTGACTCTCCCATCTTCATTGTAAAATGGAATTTAAGGAGAAGAAAGACCTTCAGTAAGATTACACCATATATTCAGCATAAAATAAATATATACATACAGAATTATCTATATTTAAACAGCCTGATTTACAGAATTTCAGTAGCACCAAAAACTTGTCAGAAATATAATTAGTGTCAGTGTATAGGTTGAAGATTTGCCTGAAATACTAATGAAGAATGGAAAAACAAAGGAGAAGGATCATAAATCAAAAAAGGAAAAAACAGGCAGACAATCCTTTCACGATAACGATGAATTCATGGGAACAACCGGCTTCCCCCTTCATTCTATAAAAATACGATGTTAAAATGATATTACCAAATAAATGGCTACCACAATCAATAACAGAAGGTGGCCTGAGCCTCTATGAAACATATAAAGCAACGAAAGGATCACTATGGTTCAATACTGAAAAATCTAAAATAACCTATCAAAATTCTCACGATAATTCACCAAG